ATATATATATATATATATATTAAGCTACTCACGTTTAAAAATAAAAATTCAAATATCATAATATAAAAATTGTTTTTAAAATATATATAGACATCCACTTTTCATACAATGTTGTGAATAACATGTCGGTACACCCTTATAGAGATAATTCATAATTGTACTGATCTATCCTAATGTGTTATATGAATAAGTATAAGTTGGGCTTACGTAAAAAAAAATAAAAACAAAAACATTACAAGTTGGGCTACATCCTACAGTCACTTCCTGCATTGGGACAGGTTAAGGAAATTTGATTTTTAAGAAAAATCACATTAAAATCTTTTTTTTTTGTACATACATTTAAAATCTTTTAATAATATAAAATATGCTTTTAAAAATTATTTACAAGTTTGTTTTTTAATTATAAAATTAATTATCAAATTTTAAATTTTAAATCTTATTAATAAAGTAAATAATTTATTTCTGATATGCTTGTACTTTTGATTTGGTTAATTTTTGTGGACTTTTTTCTTTTTTGGATTGCTTGATTATTTTCTTTTGTTTTTTTTTTCTATTTATTTTGCTTCATTTATGTTATTCTTGACTGTAAATACCTATTTTCATTTCAAAAATGTTAAAATTAGGTTAAATTATAAATTTATAATCTTAGTCTTTTATTTTATTTTTTACATTGATTATTTATCTCTTAAATTTAGGTCAATTTAATCTTTTTGAATATATTTTTCTACTGATTTAAGATTTATATCCAATTGAAGTTCAAACCAAATATGTTATAAAAATAGTAAAAATAAAATTTTAAAAAAATCTAATTTCATATAATTTTTTACATAATTTCACTATATTTGTAGCACTTTTAATAATCAATTGCATTTCATAATTTTTATATAAATAAATATGATATTATAAGTTTTAAGTCTTAAATCAGTCAAAAATTAATTTAAAATTAGTTATAAAATTAAAAATTATCACTATTTAAAACGAATCAAATTGATTTAAATATAAAAGAAAAAAATACAAAAATTAACATTTTAATAGATAAGAGACCAAAATAATTTAAAAAAAAAAGATAAAAGATAAAAAGTATAATTTAATCTTAAATTAAAAAAGTATAAATAAAAAAAAAGAGATAAAAAGAAAAGGAGAGAAATATAAAAAATCATGACTTAATTTTTTTTAATTTACATATGTTACATATAAAATTATAAATAAAAAAAGAGAAGAAAATAAATAAATATAACACAAAAAAAAGTAAAAGTAAATTAAAAATAAAAGGCAAGCAAGAAAACATGGTGCATGTCCCTTTTAAGATTAAACTGACTTATTATTTCACAATGTTTTTTCCTTTAACTGTATATGGTCCAATGTACGGTGAGAACATGACTAATACCAAGTACCAACCTATCCATGCTTACACAAATACCCAGAATTCAGGAAGAAAAAAAATCAGCTAAAAAACCACAATACCCAGCTTTTGTCCTCTCATATAATAACAATAATAATAACTAAAAAAAATATCATTCTAGTACAGGTTGAGTTGGTATGCATAATAGTTAGAATATTTTTTAATAGAAAAATTAAATGGAATAATTTATTTTTTTTTGAAAATTTTTAAATATCTTAAAATGAAATAGCCTATTTAAGTGGTAAATTTTAAAATAATTTAAAATTTAAACATTTATAATCACAGCCTTATTAAAACCACTGCTCAAACCATCCTCAGAGGGAAACTCTTTTCGAAACACTTCCCCAATGCCGGATTTCAATACATCACCACCAATACTCTCCAAATTACTCTTCACACGCGCGAAACTACCCTCACCGAGAGAAAAATCACATTAAAATCTTTTTTTTTTGTACATACATTTAAAATCTTTTAATAATATAAAATATGCTTTTAAAAATTATTTACAAGTTTGTTTTTTAATTATAAAATTAATTATCAAATTTTAAATTTTAAATCTTATTAATAAAGTAAATAATTTATTTCTGATATGCTTGTACTTTTGATTTGGTTAATTTTTGTGGACTTTTTTCTTTTTTGGATTGCTTGATTATTTTCTTTTGTTTTTTTTTTCTATTTATTTTGCTTCATTTATGTTATTCTTGACTGTAAATACCTATTTTCATTTCAAAAATGTTAAAATTAGGTTAAATTATAAATTTATAATCTTAGTCTTTTATTTTATTTTTTACATTGATTATTTATCTCTTAAATTTAGGTCAATTTAATCTTTTTGAATATATTTTTCTACTGATTTAAGATTTATATCCAATTGAAGTTCAAACCAAATATGTTATAAAAATAGTAAAAATAAAATTTTAAAAAAATCTAATTTCATATAATTTTTTACATAATTTCACTATATTTGTAGCACTTTTAATAATCAATTGCATTTCATAATTTTTATATAAATAAATATGATATTATAAGTTTTAAGTCTTAAATCAGTCAAAAATTAATTTAAAATTAGTTATAAAATTAAAAATTATCACTATTTAAAACGAATCAAATTGATTTAAATATAAAAGAAAAAAATACAAAAATTAACATTTTAATAGATAAGAGACCAAAATAATTTAAAAAAAAAAGATAAAAGATAAAAAGTATAATTTAATCTTAAATTAAAAAAGTATAAATAAAAAAAAAGAGATAAAAAGAAAAGGAGAGAAATATAAAAAATCATGACTTAATTTTTTTTAATTTACATATGTTACATATAAAATTATAAATAAAAAAAGAGAAGAAAATAAATAAATATAACACAAAAAAAAGTAAAAGTAAATTAAAAATAAAAGGCAAGCAAGAAAACATGGTGCATGTCCCTTTTAAGATTAAACTGACTTATTATTTCACAATGTTTTTTCCTTTAACTGTATATGGTCCAATGTACGGTGAGAACATGACTAATACCAAGTACCAACCTATCCATGCTTACACAAATACCCAGAATTCAGGAAGAAAAAAAATCAGCTAAAAAACCACAATACCCAGCTTTTGTCCTCTCATATAATAACAATAATAATAACTAAAAAAAATATCATTCTAGTACAGGTTGAGTTGGTATGCATAATAGTTAGAATATTTTTTAATAGAAAAATTAAATGGAATAATTTATTTTTTTTTGAAAATTTTTAAATATCTTAAAATGAAATAGCCTATTTAAGTGGTAAATTTTAAAATAATTTAAAATTTAAACATTTATAAAAAAATTTAAAATAGTAAAATTTTAGTTTTTTTTTTTAAAGTGAGAATTTGAAATTTTTTATATTTTTTTTCTTTTTATATATCTTTTATCTTTTCTATTTCTTGTGTTTCATTTTGACTCTCTCCTTCATCTCTCATATCCTATCTTCTCTCTCTCTT